ACCCATTACCTATTTTCAAAAAAAAAAAAAAAAAGCTTTGTGGACACAAATATATTTGATGCACAAAAGTCAAAAGGTTATTCATATTTTTTTAATTCATACCATCCACTCTTTTTACGTGAGTATAATTTCCACTATTCTACATCACTTCAATAACTTTATGGTGAAGAGGCTATATAGAGAATTCATATATTCATATATTTTTAACATATAAATTACATATAATGGGTATATCTGCTGTAGTGAAAGGAAGTATAAAAGCCTGGGTATTGCTACTTCTCTTCAACTAAACTTTTCTCATTCATCAAAATTTATATCATATGAAATTCATATTCATGTTTTCATGTCATTCTTACACTTTTCTTTGGTTCAAGAATAAAAGTTTTAATATAAAACTTAACATTCTTACTTAACCCTTTTTCAATGATAAGGTTAGTTTTTTTTTTTTTTTTGTGAAAATTATTTTTGTACTTCTTTAAAAAGGTGCTTGGAATTTTGATGCTGATGCCACAATCTCCATTTATTTACTTTTGTTATATCAATCATCACAAACAGTTGTGGCTAGATATTCTTCCAAATTTTTGCTTAAAATGTGAAATTAGTCAAACAATGTTAAACGAACCCAAACAAAGTCTAGTGCCATCATTGGAAATGTTTATAAATGTTATTCTCATATTCTTATTTTGGAATTGTTATGAATTTTATTCTCATATTCTTAATATGGAATTGTATAACATTGTTTTCTTTGGATTAAGAAAAAGTTGTTCATAACAGTGGATCTCTTTGCAGGTTGAGTTTCCTAATTTGAAGATTTTGAAGCTATCTTCAATTAACATTAATCAAATTTGGCGCAACCAGATTTCAGAAAACCCTTCTATTAAAAATTTAAAAGAGTTGGTTGTGGAGGGCTGTGGTACTTTGAAATATCTACTGACATCCTCTATAGTTGAGAGTTTCCAGCAACTCACAGTGCTCAAGATTTCTGGCTGTAAGATGATGGAAGTGGTAATAGTCTTAGAACAATTAGAAGAAGAGAAAAGGATGAGGCGGACTCTCTTTCCTAAGCTAGACTCTCTAGTTCTCCAAGAACTTCCAAAACTCACTAGATTTTGTTCTGGAAATTTTTTTGAATTCCCCTCCCTTACAAAACTTACAATAAGCAAGTGCTCTATGTTGAAGACATTCATCTCCGGTTTTGCTATAGGGAACACGACAATCAACACTGAAAATGAAGTGAATGCTGCACCATCTCTCTTTTGTGAAAAGGTGGTTTCTTCTCTTTTTCTTTTTTTTTTCTTTATTTTTTTCATTATTAATTTTTAGAATTTGACTCATTAAACTTTTAAATTTTTATCTATAGCACCTATTCTTTTTACACAGCGTATAATTTTCACTATTTCACTCTGCCACTATATCAATAACTTTATGTTCAAAAGACTGTATATAGAATTCATATATTCATATATTTTTAATCTATAAATTACATATAATGAGAATATATTCTGTAGTGATAGCAAGTATAAAAGCCTGGCTATTGCCACCCCTCTTTAACTAAACTTCTTATTCATCAAAATTTATATCATATGAAATTCATACTCATGCTTCCATGTCATTCCTACACCTTTCTTTGATTCAATAATAAAAGTTTTAATATAAGGCCTAACATTCTTACTTAAGCTTTTTCCAGTGTTAAATGTCAGATTTTTTTTCTTTTGTGAAAACTATTTTTGTACTTCTTTAAAAGGTGTTTGGAATTTGGATGTTGATGCTACTATCTCCATTTATTTACCATTTTTATATCAATTACCATAAACAGTTGTGGTTAGACAATATTCTTCCACATTTTTGCTTAAAATGTGAAATTACTCAAACAATGATAAACTAGCCCAAAGATAGACGGGTGTCAATCATTGGAAATGTTTATGAAAGTTATTCTCAGATTCTTAATTTGAAATTGTATAACATTGTTTTCTTTGGATCAAGAAAAAGTTGTTCATAATAGAAGATCTCTTTGCAGGTCAAGTTTCCCAATTTGAACTTTTTGGAGCTATCTTCACTTAACATGAATCAAATTTGGAACAAGAATCATGAAGAAATCTCATCTTTTAAAAAGCTTCAACATGTAGAAGTTTGTAATTGTAGTAGCTTGAGCTACCTTCTGACACCTTCCATGGCATTGGGCCTTGTGCAACTCAAGGACTTGATGATAAAAGATTGTGAAACAATGGAACATGTGATCATGGCTGCAGGAGTTGAGGAGGTAGTTGAAACTGGCTTAATATTCCCACAACTAAACAACATTTTGCTAGAGTCTTGTTCAAAGTTGTCAAGTTTCCACGCGGGAAGTGATACCCTCAAGTTTCCAATGTTGAAGAAAATTATTGTAAAGAACTGTCTAAAGAGGGTTAGATTTGCTTCCAAATTTCCAAGTGACAAAGAGACAGAGATAGCTGATAGAAGAAGTGAGGAAGTGCATGTCAAGGAAGAACCTGATTTCTTCATTGAGGCCTTTTTCTGTGATGAGGTGAGTCTTCTTCTTTTTTTTCTTTTTTTTTTTCAAAGAATTTCTTCACAATTTTGACAAGGACAAAACTTCATTATACTTCTTTTGTAGAGTATAATTTTCACTCTTCTACAGCACTTCTATAACTATGGACATAAATGTATTTGATGCATAAAGGTCAAAAGTCTTAACCAATATAAAAACTTGTGTACTGTCGTTCCTCTTCAGATAAATTTTTCTACATCAAAAGTTATATGATATGAAATTCAAGTTTATGCTTCCATGTCATTCCTACACTTCTCTTTGATTCAAGAATAAAAGTCTTAATGAAATTAGAACTTCTTTGTAGGTTGAGATTCCTAACTTGGAGACATTGACTCTGTCCTCAATCAATACAAAGCAAATTTGGAACAATCAACTTTCATCAATATCTTCATTTGCTCAAAATTTAACAAAGTTGAAGGTGGCCAATTGTTCCAATTTGAAGTATCTGTTTACATTCTCAATGGTTAAAAATTTTTCACGACTTGAAGAACTCGGGATTAGTGGATGTGAGATGATGGAAGTGGTAATATTGATAGAAGGGACAGTGGAAGAAGACAAGATTTGCCGGACAGTGTTCCCCAAACTAGAGACGTTGACACTTAATGACCTATCCCAACTTGCAACATTTTGCTCCAATTGTGATTCTCTAGGAAAATTTTCAGACTCTGAAAGAGTCAATTTTGATACTGTATCACAAAAACTACTAGCCACACAATCGACTTGGGTGGAAACAGAAGCCACCAAGCTTGTATTTTCTCAAGTGACAGAGCTAATGCTTAGACTCTTACCGAAATTCAAGAGTTTCTTCCCTCAAATGCATATCAGAGAATGGCCATCATTGAAAAGTTTAGCTGTGATCGATTGCCATGGAGCGCAAATAGTTGCTTCAGAATTTTCAAGCACTGAGATGACACATGGAGACAGCCAAGTTGAAAGGGAATCTCAGCATCTCATGTTTTGGATTAGCAAGGTAAGTACAATCAAGTCCAAAAGGAAAAAAT